GAATATCTGCATTTATGACCTTCATATTTGGTAGCAAAATTAACTTGTCTTTAAGTTCCTTGGTGGAAGAGAAAGATAAGTTGCTGTTTTTCTTGCTGCCGCTGTTGTTAAGCCATTTATATCACAGTATCAGGAATCAATAGCTATGCTATTTGGCATGTCACAAAGTTGAAATAAACACTGCCAGTTCTTCAAATTCTAAAGAATGTTGCAAGAACGCTGAATGTTGAAGTAACAGGATCCACAAAAAGACATACCTCAAACAGTGATAATACAGGATCAGATTTGAAACATGAGGGCCGCAAGCCTAAGTACTGGTTTAGAATTCAGGGATGAGAAGCTAGTGCCCCTCCAGATGTTGTTGGACTCCAGCTCCCATCAGCCCCAGCAAACATGGCTATTAGTCAGGGGATGATGGGAATTGTAGTCCAACAATCTCTGCCAAGCCACAGGTTTTTTCATCCACACTTTATGTTTTTAAGACTGTCTGCTATTCATTGTACCCAGTCATAATGATGGTGTTCTTTATATCTAATTCCATGAAAAATAATAATGTGATCAGTCAGGTCTGCCAAAGATTTTATAGTTTAGTTAGAATAGATCTGATTGAAAAGTTGGGTGACAGGATGGGCAACTATTAGTGGGGAGAGGTATCATAAGATTTGCATACATTACATTTCTGTGCAGAAAAAAAGTTGAACTTACTCCTGGTACAGAATATTTGTATATTCTGAGACTCTACTTTCCCTTTTTAAAAAGAGCAGGTTTCTTGTTTTTATTGGCAGGAAAATAGGCACAGTATGGGGAACCTCCCAAATTTGTGGGAATTTCAGTATCCATTGGGAAGGGTTACAGTGCTCTACATAGCTTCTTGCTCCCCACTCTATAATTCTATGATTCTATGATCTAGCTGCGGGACGCGGGTGGCGCTGTGGGTAAAACCTCAGCGCCTAGGACTTGCCAATTGCATGGTCGGCGGTTCGAATCCCCGTGGTGGGGTGCGCTCCCGCCGTTCGGTCCCAGCGCCTGCCAACCTAGCAGTTCGAAAGCACCTCCGGGTGCAAGTAGATAAATAGGGACCGCTTACCAGCCGGAAGGTAAACGGTGTTTCTGTGTGCGGCTCTGGCTCGCCAGAGCAGCGATGTCACGCTGGCCACGTGACCCGGAAGTGTCTCCGGACAGCGCTGGCTCCTGGCCTATAGAGTGAGATGAGTGCACAACCCTAGAGTGTGGCAAGACTGGCCCGTACGGGCAGGGGTACCTTTACCTTATCTAGCTAAGAGTTCCTGCATTGCAGGGGGTTGAACTAGATGACCCTCAGGGGGTCGTTATGCAAATGTGAAATTGTGCTTAACTGCATACAGATTATAGAATTTGAGTTACCTTGATGTGAAACTTATGGCTTTTTAAAGTACAGAGGACACATAGCTCTGATGGTAGAGAACAACTGAAGTCATTCATTAGCACACTGTTAAAGGGACAATAATCCATCAGTCAACAGGGTGATAGTTAAGAGTCGAGCCAGCTTTGTAAGGTGGCAATCTATTTGATGGCCTCATTTGGTATCTAAATAACGGTCTGTGTGCACAGTTTACTGCTTTCCAAACACATTTTCCACAGCTGGTGAGCATGCTTTTTATGTAAGCGCAAACCCTTCTACAAACATTACGCTAGAGCTGTTCATCTGTCAGAAACATAAATGAAATTTCAAACAGATTTAGATGATTAGCTATAAAGAAATTACTTTTATACAGGTTTTTTTTAAAGAGTAATTTGAGCCTTTAAAAAAAATATCTCACATGTAATTATCTTATTTTTAAGCAAACAAAAATGTTTTTGACATAGTACGGAAAGCAGGGTGGAAAGAGTGTCCGTAACCCCCTGTGGTTACACATGGTTCAAATTCTCACATGTGGAACCACAATGAAACTTGATTGCTTTAGTTGGTGGATGGCAGGCACACACATCAGCTTCCAGTTCCGTTGTTGATGACAAAAACTACACTCTTGGATTACTTGATTGGGCTGATTTGGTTACAAGCAACACACAAGTGTGAACATGCTAAGCAGTCCTCTCACTGAAGCCATGTGTGCCAGGGAGCTAAGCCATGGTCTGACTTAGAATTATGTCTGAACTCATGGTTTGTCTCATTCTAACCAAACCATGAGCTGTAAAGCCTTGGTTACAGCTTGTGGCTTGTTTGGAATGAGACAAACCATGAACCCCAAACTATGACTGAGCTCCTGGTAGCATGGCAACAACAGGAGTGGGAAAGGAACAAAGTGGCCAGGATTGTCCCACTGTGCACCAGCAGTGCATGCTCGCTCATTCATGCTAAGCCAAAGTTTGGCTTTCAGTTATATTCAAGGTAGACTACTCTCTGATAAAGTCTGCCAAACCTTACTGAACCAGACAGTTTGGAGGATAGACCCAGCTCCGTCCAGCTGAACTTCTCTGTGGGGTTGCCAGTCCAAAAGATAAATGTGTTCTTTTAAAGTTTGCATTTTTATTTTTTTGAAAAATGGGACTATTTGTAAGTAGTACCAGCAGGGCCTGGAAGACAACCTTCCTTTGACAGACGGACAGACAGACAGACAGACAGACAGACAGAGAAGCAGACAACTGTAGTAATATTCTACTTCACAGGATAACTTGTGAAGATGTTGGGGTTGGGTTGTTAGTCTGCTTAATCTGCTCTAATTGTGCATGATTTAAATGGATAAGACATCTTGTTGTAAACTTGATTATTATTCACGCCTTCCCAGTTTTATTATAGGTCTTATGTTATGTAAGCCATCAAAGAATTATTTCCAATTCATCATTATAGTTCATGGTAATCACCATCAACATTTCTGAGCTACAGATTTAGGATTGTATTTTATTTCTTGTTGCCAATGTTCTCAAAGCAACATGGATTTGCAATATGCCTATCTTGACTGGTCACCTGTGCCTTTGCCTTGACATTTAGCAGGGTTTGTTTGTAGCTGCCTTTCCTTTTACTGTGCACACACCTGGTTTGTGCCATTATTCTCCTGCACTCTGCCTTGATGAATTTTTGATGAAATGCACTTCTGGGTTCCCAATGCCTATTACTGTCTTTTATTTGGAGAGAACAGTTTGCAGTGGCCCTGGCTGTGCCTCCTGTTTTTGCAGTGTCAGATCCGTCAGTCTATTCAGACCAGCCTCTCCCTATATGACTTTGGTCACTTGGTTTTCTTTCTTGTTTGTGAATGCGCCTGTTTCTCTGACATAATCAGTAGGCTGTATGGCTCATCAAATTGAGTTTCCCTAGGGGGTAAAGTTAGCCTAGTTCTTCCTGAAGATGGCAGTTGTGATTCTGTAGCAACAACAATAGTAGTAATAATAATAATAATAATAATAGAAGAAGCATTCTCATTGCTATGGCACCCGTGTGTTTTCTTAATGCCATGAAATGGAAGCATGACATGAACTACATGTGGTGGCTATCTGGGGAGCAAGAGAAGGGCTATGCAGTGGCGTAGCGTGGGTAGTCAGCACCCGGGGCAAGGCAAGTAATTTGCACCCCCTAACCCATGGATTTGAGCCCCCTAACCCGTGGATTTGCGCCCCCTAACCTGTGGATTTGCCCTAACCCCAGATGTTGCGCCCGGTGCGGCCGGCCCCCCCCTGCACCCCCCACGCTACGCCACTGGGGCTATGGCTTAGAAATCTGCTCTGGGCTTTCAGTCAGCACCCCCCACTGCAACTGTGGTTTCTGCTCCTATGGGGCCAAGACTCAAAAGGAGCCATCAGGCCATACAGTCCATCTACCTGCTGGCCTATGGAATCCAAAGCACAAGGTGCCACAGTTTGAGGGCATGTACATGGAAGACTGTCTTACAGAAGAATATGAATATATGAATTTTCCATCTAGCCCAGAACCACTTGCTACTCTGAGTGGTCGCAGCTATCTGAGGCTTCATTTTGAGGCGCCCACCCTGTGGAATGTCCTACCATCAGATTTCAAGGAAATAAACAACTATCTCACTTTTAGAAGACAACTTAAGGCAGCTCTGTTTAGGGAAGTTTTTAATGTTTGATGTTTTTAATCTTCTATTATTATTATTTATTGGAACCACCCGGAGTGGCAGGGGAAACCCAGCCAGATGGGTGGAGTATAAATATTATGTATTATGTATTATGTATTATATATTATTATTATTATTATTATTATTATTATTATTATTATTACCTTTACAATCATTTTAAACAAACAAACTCCTTCTCAGGCATACTATGGGAAATATTTCATCTTTGGCATGCTGGAAACTGGATCTGGGATCTACTGTTTAGGGATTTCCATATGTGTTTGGGGGGCTAGCTAAATGTGGAAATGTCCGAAAATGTGATTCTCTCTTTGAACCGAGATTAAACCAAATGTAAATATTGAATTGACCTGAGCTTGCAATTAACCAGAGCGTGCTTTGGATTCTAAACCTAATAATGCATAGTCTGTAGCAAAAGAGTATCTGATTCCTGTGATGAAGTGAAGTTAAAGCAATGCTTTTCTTTTCCTGGCAGAATGAACCACCAGCTGGGCATCAGCAAATAATTTAGCACAACAGTTCTCAAAGAAAGCTAATTTGCTGCCCTGAATCTCACCTAGAATTTATCCTCACCGGGCAATGAGTCAGAGCATCAAACAGTGATGGGTGGATTGCAGGTCTTGGGGAAGAAAGAAGCAACTTTTTTCTCTCCCCCACCACACACTCCATTTACTTTAGAACTTCAAAAAGATCCAGTGCCCTCTAAACCCTACTCCGAGTTGTTATTTTTCCTGCTTGCATCATCACCTTTCAAGAATGAACCTTTTGCTCAACCTACATTTTTTTGGAGGCCGGAAGACACTCACTGGGACAAAACTGGAGAAGATTAGCATCTTGTATTTTCTCTCTGATAATATCTTACCTCTTTCATAATGCTTATGCACCTTTTAAAAATAACATGTTATGAAAAAGTTGAACCTGAGAAAACATTACCTGTTGCTTCCACCATTCCTTCTAGGATGACCACAATTTCTAATTCCTCTTTGGGCAGTTGAGCTTTGGAAATCTCCCAGAATGGACTCTGTTGATTTATTTCATGGCTGATGATCAGCGGTGAAACCAAAAACAGACGATCATCCCCTGTATAATAACCTACATTAATATCTGTCTGGTTGAGTGGTATAAATTCCCCCTCCTTTGTCTGTTTTGACTTGATCAACTTGGCTCGTATTGATGCTTCCACAATGTGTGAATTTCTAAGGTCCCCAACACGGAACATCAGACACAGCTTTCCGTCTCGCATGGAAATTACGGCATTGGTAGAAAACACCAAGGTTTCCGCCCTCTTCTTGGGCTGGGATATTTTCACAAACATGCAGCCAACCATGAAAGCATTGACTATAGATCCTAAAACAGACTGAACTAAAAGCAGGATAATTCCTTCAGGACATTTGTCTGTGATGACCCGAAAACCATACCCAATGGTGGTTTCTGTCTCTATGGAGAATAAAAAGGCGGAAACAAACCCATTGAGGTTACTGACACATGGGGTCCATTTCTTGTCCCCTATATGCTCCAAATCTCCTCGGATGTAAGCAATTAGCCACCAGATGAATCCAAAGAAAAGCCACGTCACAGTATAAACCATGACAAAAATAAAAAGGTTGAATCTCCATTTGAGGTCAACCAAGGTTGTGAAGATGTCAGTCAGGTAACGATATGTCTCTCTCACATTTCCGTGGTGGACGTTGCATTTTCCATCTTTCCTAACGTACCTCTGGATTTTCCTCTTGGTACATTCTTTTAAGTGCTTCGGCAGATCTTCCCTGGCTTGTTTGGGCAACTTAGGCGGATGGATTGTAACAGGGCTCTCCACGTCCTGCTCCATTGAGTCTCCTTCCAGCACATTAGCTGACAGGAAAGAAAAAAGAGAGCATAAATACTGATGTGCATACATAAACTTGATTAATCAGCACCTTGATATTCACAATACCCCATGCATGAAACAACCAATGCTTTTGTCATTGATAACTAAGGATCCTTCCATGCATCCATTTAATTGTGCAGTCAAGATGATTTGTGCTCATTATAGCATCAGGGCGGTTATACTTGAACCCACTTTCCATACTGTTTGCACCTGCAAAAGTTAGGAGGTGGCCTTATTACTTTGTTTTCAGTCAGTGACTTCCTGCTGAAATCCTGTCTGAAATTGCGTTAGCCCTTTTTGTTATTGCACCTGCATCACAGATGGTCAAAAAAATTAATAAATATGCTTACCACCTACATATATGGGAATCGCTTCTTTCTCCCATTTCCTTATTCTGTTTTCTATACTCAATCATATATATGTTGTCAGTTTCTTCATGAATGCATCCTATGTACAGGCATTCATACAGTGGTACCCTCGGTTTACGAACTTAATCCGTTCCGGAAGTCTGTTCTTAAACCGAAACCATTCTTAAACTGAGGCATGCTTTCCCTAATGAGTCCTCCCACCGCCGGTGCCCTTCCACCGTTTGGATTCTGTTCTAAGTCTGAGGTAAAGTTTGCAAACCGGGACACTACTTCAGGTTTTGTGGAGTTCATAAACTGAATCGTTCTTAAACAGGACTGTTCTTAAACCGAGGTACCACTGTATATATAAACATACCTAGTCCTCATAAATTCCACGTGGTAAACCTGAAATGTACCACTCCAGGGTAGAGGTGAAAAGCTCACAAACACTAATTACTGAAATAGGCATGGAGGTCTGGTAGTTAGGGTACCACTTTTACGGCCAATAAAGAATTTTGCGGTTGTGCAGCCAAGCCTTTTCTGCTGCCATGGTTGAGCTCCACAATGCCAAGCTCCTAGGAACACAGCCCTTGAGAATTGAGCCCACTAATGTTACTTTTTCCTCCCAGATTACTCTGGACACTTCTCTCTGTTCAACAGGCATTGGTATTGGATAGGGAACAAATAGGTTTCTTTTTCTCTTCCAACTTCTGTGAAAAGTTTCGTTGGTGTGTGGGAGATAAAAAAAGGAACCCATTCCCTTCTCATCATGGTATGTGATGCCTGGTCACTTACTGTTCCTCCCCCCTCTCCGACTTACTAGACAGTGAGAAAGAAATAGTTGGATCTCTTTCTAAAAAATCTTCCCAAAATGTTTTATGAAGGTGGCCAGTGTGTATGGCAACCTCTGCAAAAACATTTGGGAAAGGGAAAAGAGGAAGACATTCATTCCTTTCCAGCTCCCTGGTCCTTTCACTTTGTCTCCTGGTACTGGTGGTGACAACCTCCACAATGTCGAACCCCCCCCCCCCAAGTTAAAACTAAGTAGGAATGCTGAACATGGGGCACTCTGGGAAAATGAAGATGGGAGGCAGAGCTGTCTGAAGTTCATCAGCTCTGTATGAAGATTTTAAAAAATATAGAAAAGATGTTCCGGCAACTGCTGGTGTGGCCCAGTCATGTTGGTTCCTTTTGGACTGTAGGGCCAGGTCCTGTGTGCTGGTAGTCTGGCTCTAAAAGTGCTGCTGCTTCAGATTTCAACAGCAGCCTTTTAAAAATCTCTCTTTTAAAATAGATAAAACATGGATGAATCATATAGGTTTGAAAGGATAGAAAAAACATAAAAGGTGTGTTTGTTCTGTAGTAAACATATGAAATATCAGTACTCTGTTCTCTACACCATGTTGGATACTAAGCGGACAGATGTCTGAATGTTGTTTTTCTTTTGAGACTTTCGTTTCTTTGTAGTAGACTTGTTAAAATGTCTAGATGGAGGCAAACTACTTCCAAAAGAACACACTCTTGGCTTTCCATTGTCTCAGAACTTTTCTAGCTATCAAGCATGTACTTCCTTTCCCAATCAGTTGTTTATTTCAAAGTAAGGTCTAACACCTCAGAATGCAGTAATATTTCTGTGTTTGGGTCTATCAACTTAAAGGACACTTTCAAAAAAATGTGCCTATTTCATGAGGGGCTATTAGGTTTGGCAAAGCAGCTCTGAGGGATCACCCACACTTCCTCCTGTCCCTTAATTTCTCACCATGGGTCCAAGAGGTTACTTTCCTCATCCTGCCGCTAATGTTTACTGCTGAACTGGAACAAATGTAAATTGGGTATTTTTTTTGGCAGACTGATGCTTGTTCCAATTCAGCAGTAAGCACTGGGTTTTCCTGGGGAAAGGAGTGGGACAAAAACAAAAAACAAATAACTATCAGATCCATGCCTAGAAATTAGGGGGAAACAGGATAAATCATGGGACAAACAGAAGTGCCCTTACAGTGAGGTCTTTACTACATTTGGTAACAAAGCTGCCTCCCTGGATTACTCCACATTGGATAATGAAATGGAATAACGAATGCACATCTCTGTCTTTCCCCAATATAACAAAATAGCAGGGCATGGGGATTAAAATGTGGAGCTATAATGGCTCTGAAATAACTCAGGAATTTATCTGTTATGTCTCTACTACCTCCTGTTGCAGGTCCCCCAATTACATTTCCTGCTACATAATATCTATCTAAAATTGTACAAAGATTATCAGAATAGGTACTGCATACTAAGAACACAAGAATGACCAGCTTCTAAAGCAGAACTACTAATCCTGTATTAGATTCCCGAAGAGAGCAATTCCCCAAGATGCTTCACTAACTCAAAGCTTTCTCTCCCTCTCTTAGTCTCTGCCCTAAAAAAATAAAAAATAAAATCCTTCTAGCTTTCTCTCTGGTAGGGATGGGAGCAAAATTCATATATATATATATATATATATATATATATATATATATATATTTGCATTTAACCAAATTCACATTTTTTTGGGGGGGGAAAAACAAACCCCAAAAGACGGCCTTTCTTCCGAAGTCACAGTCTGGTGAAACGGAAAGCTCTTCCACTGCCTTACTAGCGCAGTCAGTGGGCATAGTGTGCCCTAAGGTAGTATATTCACTTCCTATGTGGCCAGTATGGAAGTCAATGGGGCATGCAGAGTAGGGATGGTTCACTCTGCTCTATCAGCCTGATGCCCAGAGCAGGGATGGAGAGGGAAGGGGCTTTGGGAGAGTGCAGGAGGCCAGATGTCCGAGGAACCTAGTGGGCCACATTTGCCCCCTCCCCATTATGAGGAGCTAGAATCAGGAAACAAAGGTATCTTGAGATAGACAAAATTGAGCTGTTTCCTAGCATCCTCCTTGAGAAAAGCTCCTTAAAAAGAAAATCTCTTCTGCGTTCCTTCTGACAACATAGTCCAGGAGTATTTCCTCCATTGCCAATCAGTGGTTACTCTGATGCAACAAGATGGGCTTCCAGATGCACAACGTATTAGCAATGTGGTGCCTCTTGACAGTTCCCCAGGGCAGTCTCAGATCCCAAAGGCACACGCTAGCTTGGCAGGAGTTCCTCAGCTGGGCTTGTATTAGGGTGGTGCACCTGTTACAGGTGGGTTTAGAGCTACGCACAAGTCCAAACTTGTCAACTTTAGTGAATGCAGGAGTTTTTAAAAAGAAGCAGAAGCAGATGTAACAATCTTCTGAAACATTTGGGCTTTGATACCCCTGACTACATAGCTTTTAATTTTGCTCTTTGGGGTTAGTTTAGTGAGGATGATTATGCTGAAATTCCTTCATAGTTCCAACCACCACTAGCACACCCCTCCTAGTCAGGCCTTAGTGATATGTAAAGAGACATTTTTTGATTCAAGGTATCTTTATCAGTCCATTTCAGCCCAGTCTCTCTGATGAGACTGAGGATGACTAGAAATGAGACAAATAATTAAGAGGTATGAGGATCTACAGGGGGTCTAAATCTGTAGATTACAATTTTGCTAGGGAATTACCTTTGAGTTTTTGAACTGAATGCTCCAGAGACAAAATTAGGGTACTGCTGAAGCCTACTTTGTAAGATGTAATGTTTGCTTTAGAACTGGTATTTCCAAGGCTAATTTGCAGCATTAGTATGGTAGATTTAATTTAGGAATCTCAAATATGAATCCTTGCCACACTGTGTGAAAAGCTGTGTGTGTGTGTGGGGTGTGTGTTTTTATAAGTGGCCATTAATTATGTGAAACTCCATAACGAGTGAATGTGCAAGTGTATGATTTTTCAGTTGGATTTGCCCCTCATCCACAGAAGCAGGACTGGGAATGAATGGGAGAAAGAGAGAATGATGAATGATAGCAATTCCCAGGTGGATTTGCAACCAAAGTCTTCACTTTGCAGCAAAGCAATCTACACATTTGGACGTGGGTGGCACTGTGGGTTAAACCACAGAGCCTAGGACTTGCCAATCAGAAGGTTGGCGGTTCAAATCCCCGCGACGGGGTGAGCTCCTGTTGCTCAGTCCCTGCTCCTGCCAACCTAGCAGTTCGAAAGCACGTCAAAGTGCAAGTAGATAAATAGGTACTGCTCCGGTGGGAAGGTAAATGGCGTTTCCGTGCTCTGCTCTGGTTTGCCAGAAGTGGCTTAGTCATGCTGGTCACATGACCTGGAAGCTGTACGCCGGCTCCCTTGGCCAATAAAGTGAGATGAGTGCCGCAATCCCAGAGTCGGTCACGACTGGACCTAATGGTCAGGGGTCCCTTTACCTTTAATCTACACATTAACTTTGTCCCCATGTCAACCTGAGAAATCCCCATCACAATAGGTCATAAGCAGAGACAGGTGTTTTTTTAGAACAATAGCTCCAGGTGATTTTTAGCACATGGTCCAAGCCACATAATTTCTTTAAATCCCACCTTTTCAAGGTGGCTCACAAAAATTAAAACAAATACAAATAAAACACACATAGTTAAAAACATACAAAAGATTATTGTGTAAAAGTAATTAAATTAACTATGGAATTAAAACAATGTAAAAAACCTATCTACTGTAATGCAGGTAGTACTACCACTTCTAGTACTAATGCTGAGGACTTGGTGGGGCTCTTTC